ACCGAGAACATTTTGTACCTAGTCAGTCATGAATCGAAAGAGACATGATAGTCCAAGCCTGCATCAAGTATTGCACTGACCTGACTGAATAGAGATAAGAAGAACGAATACTACACTTTGATCCAGTTCGATGTCTAGGAAGTGAAAGAAAAGTAGCATCGACTGCTCGTTGAATTAATATCAAATCTTTCGTCATAAGGAAAGTGCTAATAATACCATTAGTATTAGGTATGTATAGTAGGACAGACTTGCACCTATAACCTTGGTTGGTAATCAGTCTACAGCAGAAAGAAACAACAACCTACTGCGGGAATATCTTCTGCTTTGTCAGTCATGAATCAAAAGAAAAATGATCGCCCAATCGTGTATCACATATGGCATTTAATTGACTGATCAGAGATAAGAAGTAAAGATACTACACTTTGATCCCAGTCTGATGACCAAGAGTGAAAGAAAAGCTTAATTCGAGTAGCACTGGCTGCTCGGTCAAATAATATCAACTGTTTCCACATAAGGAAACTACTAATATTATCATTAGTTTTAGAGATGGGCTGGATAGCAGAACAGACTGAGTTTTATAGCTTTGGTTGGCAACCAGTCTACCGCAGAAAAAAAAAGCCAACCCCCTACGGGAAAAAACTTCTACTAGTCAGTCATTAATCGGAAGTGACATGATCGCCCAAGTGTGTATCATGTACGGTACTTAAATGATTGATTAGAGATAAGGAGAACAGATACTACACTTTGATCCCGGTCCGATGACCAGGGAGTGTAAGAAAAGAGTAACTCGAGTAGCAATGGCTGCTCGGTTAATGAATACGAAATGTATCTATATAAGATAAGTATTAGAGATGGATTGGATAGAAGGAAAATCTTCTACCTAGTAAGTCATGAATGGAAAGCGTGTATCACGTTTGGCACTTGACTGAATGATTAGAGAACAGATACTACACGTTGATCCAAGTCCGATAACCAGAAAGTGATAAAAAAAAACATAACTCGAGTAGCAATGGCTGCTCGGTTAATGAATACGAAATGTATCTACATAAGATAAGTATTAGAGATGGATTGGATAGCAGAAAAATCTTCTGCCTAGTCAGTCATGAATCGAAAAAGACATGATCGCCCAAGCGTGTATCACGTATAGCACTTAAATGACTGACTAAGCCATTTGATGTTGATATCTCCCTTTTCTAGTTGGCTTGTGGGGCTATTTTCTCTTACTGAAAACTCTATATTCTGTCTTATTACATTTGATTGTCCTTACTTCTCGCTTCCTATTTGTTGCGAGGTGGGGTCAGGCAAAATACAACATTTAGCTCGACAGAGTCAGTTGTGGGATTAGTATTCTATTAGCAGCTAACAAGTCACAAGTCAATAGTATCATCTTCTTCCTTTGGCAATTACGCAGAACTAATTATCATGACTATATCAATCCATTTATGATAGCAAGGATGGTAATTGGTTTTAACAAAACAATCTTACCATTTGAGAATTACTTCCTACAGAAGTTATACTTTTTATTTTGAGGTTATGATAGAACCCCGCGCCGAGTGGTTAGAACGTTCGGTTTCTGACCATGAGTCCCGGGTTCGAATCTCACCATTTGGCAGGAAGGAGATTTCCAGATGTTATCGGACTGGATCGAGGTAGACCCCAGCGTGCGGCCCCATTGGAAAGTGCCTGAAAACAATACCACGGGTTGACGCAAGCTTTGTAAGAGAAATTGGCTAGACAGAAATTGCACAAAGACACAAGTCATCGTGGCCGAGGGTTTGAGCGTGCTGTCCCTGTTCAAATTGTTGATCACACTATATAAGAAAGTATAACTAAGTTCTGCTCAGCATATAAACCACGGATGGCCTCTGTGGTGTTGAATAAACACTTGCCTGAGCAAGTGTCTGCAATAGAGATTCACCAGCCGCCCTATTACACTTGTATCCTCGAATATTAGTGGCCATCTATTATGATGGAACACTTCTGTACTCTGTCACTTCCTTTTACAGTAGTGTGTAGTTTCCGGAACTATCCGGTGCATATGTATGTCAAAAACGTCGTACGGAACCGTCATCGCCTCCTCCTCTCGTATGCCTTGTTCGTCTGAGTACCTTTTTTCTTATTTGATTTAGATGGGTTTTTTTAAGCACCCATGTAAACCCTTTTATCATGTACAATAACTTTCCGATATGCCTCTCGACAACCCCAGCATTCTTTTCCATTTTTGTTTGAAGTATTCTTGGCAGTCGGATTTTTTTTATTGTTTTCGATCTTTTTTATTCAGCAAAAGTTTGTCAAACAGCGATCTAATTCTCTTTGTGAACATTAGTTCTGCCTGGGACATATCTGATACCGCCCGTCCTGGGTAAGACGATAAACTACATCCGCGTCCTGGGTAGGACTACATCCAACAGCAAGGCCTCTGTTCGGGAGGTTTTTAGGAGCGTGGGACCACCTCTTAATTGCTTGTAATCCAAGGTGGTAGCACTTGGGTCCCAGCTATGAGCAAATAGTTAACTCTCAAATTGTGGTCAAAGCACTATGAAAATGTAAAATGAGGTTTTAATATCAGCAGTACATTTTGTAAAAATTATTATCAGCAATACATTTTTGAAGGAAAAATTATTATCAGCAATAAAGTTTTGGGAAGGAAAAGATATCAGCAATATATTTTGGAAAATAATATAACCAGCAATAAAAATGTCGGCATTAAATAACACATTGAAGTTTATATGCCTTAAAACAAACCAAACTAAACTTGATACCGTATCAGTGTCGTTCTTTGACACTCTTCAGCTACAGAATTGCAAAGTCAATTTTTAAATCCTGTTCAAGCTTAGTCAAAAGTTCAGAACAGATTTCCGCATCCCTATTTGAAGTCAACACTTGCACGAATATCAAACTTAAACATGTCGGGCGTGAGTTCCCCTAACTTGAAATGTTCATATTCCTTGTTTACGTTACTATCAAAAGTGATATAATCTTCAGATTCTCTTTTTGCAAGATTTAGACATTGCTGAAAATTTTACTTAACAACCTAATAGTTTCTGTAAACAAAAATTCACTCAATTTTTTCGGCGGGATATGATTAACATATTTTTCGCGTTCCATGATCCTAACTATCTCAGTAAAAGGCGTACTTTTTTTTCTCGTCCTACCAGCTTATACAGTCTTTTTCCTCATAGCGTCTGTAGTACATGTCAAACTCGTTCAGAAATATCTAAACTGCCAGCTGTATACAACCAATTTGTCAGATCAATGATGAAAGCTGGCTTCGATCGAATGGAGTCTGTAGGTCACAGCGACAACAATTCTTCTTTAAATCACATGGGCTGGCGCTATATAATCACAAAATTCATTACCAAATAACCGAACCGACATCACTTGAAAACATTTAACAACAATAACAGCAAAACGGAAGAGAAAATAATATGATCAAGGTATCGACGTTCCGCTCTGAATCAAACAAAAGGAAGGAAACCACCTACAATCAATAGGAGTAGATAGGGTCGCCTATCGTACGGTTCAAGCTTCTCACTGTTCTTCTGAACAAGAATATAGGTTTATTCTTTGTCCTCACTTTAGGGTATCCTTCTAAAGTATTTCATTCTTTCACTCCGAGTAGCCACGTCTTAAAGTCTTGCTTGGGGTGAATTGCTTAAAAAATACTGGAAAGAAAAGAAAATAACTTGTCACCAGAAACCCATTTTTCAGAAAAATTGTTTTAATAGGGATTTTTTTAAAAATTTCAATCGAATGTAACATTGGCTGTTTAGTCATGAAATGCTTAATGTTTCCTTATAAGTGAATACAACTAGTAGCTTTGAACAGCTGTATTCAGTGTACTCCCATAGAGTAGCTGACAACTAATGCAAGAGAGTCAAGAAATACCCTGCTATTTAAACCATAATTGGAGGAAAAAAGATAAATTCGAGAACTTTCTCGAGGACGTTAGAACGCACCAGAAACGTGCAGATTTTAAATTTGGCTCCCTTTTCAACTTCCGCTGGGATAACCCTACTTACTAATATTGACAAATACACCCTTGTGCAAGTTAATTGAAACAAAACAAATAATTGTGTTATTATTTACTTTTTTATCGCATTTTTCCAATGAAGCATGACCCAGTGCGCATGCTAGTACATCGTATGTCCATTCTACAAAGGTCGTTCCTTGCAGATTGACCACAGATTCTCGATTGGATTTAAATCAGAGTTTCCGGGCCAGGCTCTAGTACTTTGATTTGCTCATTGATAAGACTTGCCCGTGAATTTGTGCAGCGTCACAAATTTTCGTATGCTTCCTTCGAGTAACGTCCATCCAACTAATCGACAGTCGAGATAATAGTGTTTGGGCGTGATGAAAATCTGATGCAATCACGAATGACGCAATATTTCGCAAGACCAATCAAATTTCATCATACACCCTGAAAATAGATTCATATTACTGTACACAACTGCACATGACCTAATCTGAGGAAGAAATAGATATCGATTACACCCTGTCACTCCAGTGGGTCTAAAACTGACCGTATGGTGAAAGAAAGGAAGCTAAAGCAGTTGTTTCAATTAATTTACACAAGAGTGTAACGAGAATCATACGATGGGGCGTGCTGGATTATTGGAGATTTGCTTTTATCTATCCTCCTCGTAGGTTTCTTATCATTTGATCTCTTGTAATGCGGACGACCAGACTTTAAAAAATTATTGAATAAATTTATCATAGAAATAATATGTGAGGAAATTACAATTATGAATAAAAACAATTAGTAAAAGACAAGATAATGTCAATTTCCTCTCAGAAAACTGACCATTTTGTGTAGCCGAGATTGAACCAAAGTCAATTTCATTTGTACTACCTTTCGTCGTCAGCCATATTTCATCACTTGGCGTTGGCGTCGTTCTTAAACCATCACTGCAAACATGAATATCAAGCTGCTTTATAACCGACTCCCCTCTTTCCTTTCCACTTGCTGTACGTTCTCTTTAAGATGCTAATTCTAGTCTCCAATATCTGTGACAGAAGTGAACTCTCTCAGTTCCATTAACCCTAGTCGACCCATCTCTTTTTCGTGGCATGATATTTGTCGACGATCCTTCAAAACAATCCCCGTCTTCTTTCTGCTTTTAGTTGTCTATCCGCAATGGCTCCATTTTCTTCTTTGTGTCTCCTTGAAACTTTGCTTTTTTCTTTTCTTTAGTTTTTCTTCTTTTATTTGCAATCCTTCCTTTCATCATTATTTTTTCAAACCATTTACGTGTAAATTTTATCTTTTCCCTTTTTGCTTTGACAAACATACCGATATCTATACTAACCTCACCTTTTTGTTCGTTCGTTTTTATCCCCTTATAAATGAAAAGATTCTTTAAGATGGCACGGAAATAACTCTCAAAAACATTTTATTTTCAGGCTAAGAACGTTATTTCAAAAACAAGATCAGCAACAGCTTTTTATTACGAAAAAAATTGAATGATTCTTCCGTGTATATACTGCCGTCATATCTCGTCTGGCGTTCCTGCTATATATCTCGATAAAATTCAAAGAAGGCTTTGTAATGTTATTGGTTCTGACCTGGTATCTAGATTTCAGTCACTTTCTCACCGACTTAACGTGGCTTCCATTTGTCTATTCTACAAACAATTTCATGGTATTAAATCCGATGAGCTTTAATCTTTGGTGATTCTGTAGCATGAATTTAAACTTTCTACTACAGCGTGCCGCACAAAAACAAGAACTTCTAGAGTTACTACATGATTAAATAACTGATAAAAAAAATAATTTACATTTTTAGTTTGAACACCACACATCTAACATTTGTGTTTTTGTTCTGTTTTAAGCTACTAAATTTCTATCCTTTGCTTTTGTTTCAAATAATGGTAACTAAAATGCCAACAATTAAATAAACTGTAACAAATTTACTGTTTTTGTGAGGCACTCTGTCTTACCGTTTTAGTGCTGAAAAAGTTTAACAATTGTGAGTTTAAGCTTTCATTTCTAAGATTGGTATCATTTTCGTGTCTGAAATTGAATTAATTTCCAAAAGAGGAGATTAAAACATTTGCTTTCAAATAAGTGGAATAATTATATTCAATCAATTACTTGGTCTACTGCTAGGAAAGTTGCTTCACAGTATCGTGTCAGACAATTATTTGCGTCAGAATTCATCTTGTACATTAATTGATCTGTATTAAATTTACTGTTTTTTTTTGTTTTTTTTTTTTTGTGGCGACTAGGTCTCACCGTTTCAATGCTGAACAAGTTTAACAACTGTGATTCTACTGCTAGGAAAGATCATGCCAGACAATTTTCTTGTAAGAATCCATTTTGTACATTGAATACAGTTGGCATATCTGGTCCGGTTCTCCTGCTGTATACCTCGAGATTCTTGACAAAATCCAAAGACGTCTCTGTAATGTAATTTATGCTTGCAATCTCGACTTCAGTCACTTTCTCATTAACGTAACGTGGCTTCCCTCTCTCTTTTCTACAAATATTTCCATGGAAATTCTTCTGATAAGCTGTTACTGCCTCGAGCGAATGAATTTAAGACATTGAATATTTATATTTGAAAGGAATATTCGATAGTAAAAACAAATTAAATAAGAAACGCAGTATCGTATATGATTAAAAATGGTGACTCCAATATTTGCATCAGATACAGAAAGAAAATGAAAATATATTAAAAAATTTAAAAACCATATTAGGTTTTAAAATTTTTCTACATTTATTGCTGGTTTGGTTTAGCTTATTTAGGACATATAAAATTTTCAAGACTATTTACAGAAAGATTATTTTGTACAATAGATGGATAAAACTAGAGAGGTTTGATTAAAAAATTAGACTAGTTTGGTTTGATCGATTGTCAAAAAGGCAGTCAAGGGTTTCGTTTGTGTGACAGTCAAACAGGTAGACAGACGTTTGGTTTACACGAGATTCAAATTGATAGTCAGAAATGATAGACATATATGTTCAGTTTCTGATCCTGACGTAAACAAGCCAATTTATAAAAAAATATTTCTTCGCGTAGCCAGTTTAATCATTGGAAGTTTTCATTTCCATGCTTAGTGTCAGTTTCATATCTGAAAATTGACTTAATTGCCAAAAAAGAGATTAAAACATTTGCTTTTAAATAAGTGGAATGATTATATTGAATCAATTGCTTGATCTACTGCTAGGAAAGTTGCTTCACTGTGTCGTACCTGATAATTTTTCCCGTCAGAATTCATCTTGTATATTTATAAATCTACCATTCATCCGCGCATTGAATATTATTGCAATTGGTTTAGGGTTCCTGCTGTACATCTCGATATTCTGGACAAAATTCAAAGAAGTGTCTCTAATATAATCAATCCTCACCTGGCATCTCGACTTAACTCAACGCCATGTCGTGGCTTCACTCTGTCTTTTTCACAACTATTTTCACGGTAATTGTTCTGATGAACTTTCCTCCTTGGTACCTGGCTTGCATGTATTTAAGCGCACTACTAGCCTGGCGACTGTTACTTTTAAACAAACTAGGTGCAACCGTCACTTCTATTTTAATTGTTTATTTACTCGCACTTCTCGCCTGTGAAATATTAAAAAATCTTCCAGTTTCTTGTGTCCCTGCCAACTACAATTTTCAAAGATTCAAATACAACGCCAATCGCCATCTTCTGTCTTCCTGAAATCTGCACCGTTATTGCCCTTGCTCTTCACTTCTCCTCACAAAGGTCTTTTCATTCTCTTTCATACCTTGGAACTCCTTGCGTCTTAGAGGCATTATCGCCTTGCTTGGAGTGAAATGATTAACCAGAAAATAAACTAACATCTGTCTGATAACAACTTCCATGAACAGGAAGAGAAGTGTTGATGACTACAATCAGAACTAAGGCTAAGTTCTGTGTGGTGAGAGGTAACCATATTTGTCTCCCCTTGAACTACTCGACTATAAAAGAAAAATTAATTTAAGTTAATTTGCATTGAATAAAAACCCCAATGTAAGCTTAAACTTTCGTTTCTTCTTTTTTTCTTTATATTCTGCTAAAAAACTAAAAGAAATTGTTGTCCATAAAATATCTTGGATGCGATTCAAAATCTCTCCTGAACAATTTGTCTCTCACCCTACAAAAGAATCCATGTATTCCAACTTACCCAGTTATGGGAAGAAATACAAACGGCAAATCTACTGCCGCAAATAAAGTAGATTAATATCGAAAGGTTGCAGTACGGAAAGAAAGACACATAGAAATCAGGGTTGGCTGATCATGTGTGGGCATAAAAATAGTGATAATGACACCCCTCCTAATAAAGTCGAGATAATAACATGAAAGATGAGACGGCTGAAAGAATGGGAATATATGTTAGGCATTGATAACCCTCTTAGTAGACCAAGCATAAAGATAAAATTCGATAGTTAAGAAAAAAGGGACTTAAATCTTAAACCTGATAAGTAAAGACATTACGTTTAAATCTCCCAAATGATACTAATGGTTTGTCGAATATGTTATAGTGTATTAAAAGTTTTGTGTTCAAATCTTAGTTCGGCCAGTGCGTACATATATTCATTCAGTGGAAGGAACAGACAAGTGACATAAAGATGAAAAAAATGGTGACTATTAACTAATATGACTCTTCCACTGAACATTGAAAGTAGTAATCTACTTACCTGAATTGAATAGTGTTCGATTCTATATTCTCGAAAGGTTGCCTGAAGAAAATCGGGAAGTACAGTGCTTGAAACGTTTTCAGATTAGGATATTAATATATGTCTATATTTTCGGCGACAATAGTGTTACAATACCCCATCTCAGAAATATAGACAGATCCTGAATAAGGTCAGAGCGTACTATGACCAAAACGTTGTGAATATGACAACAAAGATGAGGACAGTAGCCCGAACAATGTAAATAGTGTAAATTAGGATATTTGTCTGATTCTTTTTCTTCTGGGAACCATGTCACTTCATAACCTTGGCGAGGATGGCTCTCCCTAACGTCCTCTCCTTTATTGCACTTTACTAATTTTCTATTTTTTTTTTATTATACTTCCAAGTCCCTGTTCTGTCATCCGTTTATACAAGCACCTCAAGTGGATGACTCGCGACTTCCTTTCTCCTTCTTGTATTCAATACCCCTGAGATATGAGCGTCAAATACTCTGAAACCTCTTTCCTCATTATGTACCCTAGAAGTTAAAACTGTACATTTCAGATTCTGAAAATAATTCTCTTTTTTATTTCCAATCTAATTAAAACTTTCTCAATTGCTGCGTATATAATATTCTCACCATTCTATAGAACCATACAACCATAACCTCAAGTGTCCTATTTCTATGTGAGGAAATTATCCAGGCTTTACTGTCATAGAGTGTATTTGTATTACATTTCATTTCAGCTCTTTGTTTCTGAGGATATTTTCCTTTTTTCTTAGCTTCTTTACTTAGCTTTTGGAAGGCACCTTACGCTATTCAAATGTAACATAAGATTTGTATGACACATTTTCTGTCTTCTGTTAAAACACTTCCCAGATATTTAAACTTCTGCACTTGTTTGATTTTGACATCTCAAATAAGTAGCTTTTGTTTGTCTTGCTGACATCCTTAGATTCTGTTTTTCAAAATTGATCGTCAATATTTTTGTTAAATTCTTAGATGTAAAATAAGTTGTTCTTTTGTTTTTCATTTTTTTTATTTTTTTATTTTTTATTTTTTTTTTGGCGGGGACACTCTGTAGATTGGCGACTAGGTCTCACCGTTTCAGTGCTGAACAAGTAGAAAAAAATAAAACCTATCAAAGAGTGGAATAATTCATAATGTGTTAAAAGCCAACTAAATAGAGGCAGTGTTTCAATAAAATCACCGTGGAGAATCCAACGGGAAAATATACCACCATCAATCTCAATAAAATCATAGCAAAACAGAATTTTATGGAAATTACACGTGTAAAACTTCAGACATAATTTTCTAGTACTATAAACAAAGAAGATGGGATTATAGCCCGTATGTAAAGTAATAGTTTTGGAGAAGAGATGGGCACCGCCAGCAATATGTCGGCCAACTGAAAGGATCCTGAGGAGGAAGAATCATTTGCCCTCAATTCCTCCTGACGACTGAAACAGATGAAGGCCGGTTGGTTGGTTGGTTGTTTTTGTTTAGCGGCATATCAACACCTCTATGGGTTATTTAAATCTAAATATTTTGTATGTAATTTTATTTATTTACTCATTGGGGGTGGATAATAATGATTTTAGTGATACGTCTTACTAATTAACCCATAGCTTGGGGAGAAAGTGCGTATTTTTCGCGTAAATGAATATAATAAACCCAACTAGAATTGGAACTCGGCTGTCCGGTTGAAAATTCTGAGCTATTATCCATTATATCAACCGCAT